GATTTTTTTCTATCACTAAATGAAACATTGCAGAGATGAATGCTTGAAATGTTTTTAATCCTCTTAGTTATGATGATTTGCTTAAAGTCAATTAAAAGATGACAAAATATTACATCAGACTAACTTTGTCAAGTGTTGAAAAAAGTTATCACTGCATTTAATATTTGCTGATTAATTTTAACCAGAAACATTAAGATTAAAGACAAGTTTCAATGTAAAAAACTGGAATAAGATGAAGTCAAAGTGTCTAAAATAACTCATTAGTAGAGAATATTATGCAGAAATCATAACAAAACGTAATTCTCCTGTGATTTCTGTTTGCAGCTCAGCGTCTGTAGTCAGAGGTAAGTTATCCATCTGAACATTTAAACAGAATCAAATGAATAAAGGTGTAAATCTGTAGGAAATGTGCAACTATTTTATTTTTTGTCAACTAATTTTTGTGAAATTTGAGTGTTTTTTTTTTCTTATCTAGATGAAGGAAGCAAACCAACGATGAGAAATGAAGAATATTTGTTTTTCACAGGGGAACCGGAGGTGAGTTTAGCAGCAACAATTAGTTCAGTTTAATTATAAGACGCCGATTCACAACATGTATCATCATAACTTAACTTTATAAAAAAGAAAAGAGTCAATTTAATCCAGTAATACACTCAATAAATCCATAATTACATCAGAGGTGGATAAAAGTAGCACTACTTCAACAGATTTTCATTTAAATAAAAATAAAAAGTATTTGGAAAAAAGTTTATTCAAGTGCAGAGTCAAATTATCAATGATTTAATATTTAAAAATTACATAATCAGAGGGATCAAAATATAAAGTTAAATGAAAATTTGGGTATTTTGAGGACCAGAATGTCAATAATTCACATAAACAACAGAAAAAACAAAATCAGGGAAAATATTTTTTCTTTCAATATGAAACTTTGAAACTTTAAGAGAAACTGCAGGTTTGTGTCTGGAGGATGTTTCATTTCACTCAAATAAGAGTAAAGATACTTCATAATAAAATTACTCAAAGAGTAGTAAAAATACTCCTCAAAGTATTTTTTTTTTCAAAAATGTAACTGAGTAAATGTAACTAGTTACTATCCAACTCTGTCTCCTGCAGGATCCTCGTGCTTCACAGAGGAAGTTGCTCCAAACAGCAGCAGCTGCTCTTCCTTTCTCTCCTCTCAAGGTGACATTAATAATAAAACCTTTTCCCCTCACAGACTGAGGATTTTTTAATGTTCTTGCTGTTTCCATGCTGCAGGTGTTGTCCAAAGGGGAGCCGTGTATTTTGTTCCAGGCGAGGAAACTTTCTCTGCGCTTTGAGAAGCAGAGACCCGTGGACCTGACAGAGCTCGCCTTCTCTCCTCAGAAGCTCGTCGACACGAGGGAGTCGCTCTGTCAGCAGGACAAAGCCACGTATGTTCACAAATCTAATGCAAACACACCAGCACGACATCATTTCAAATCTACTGTTGATAATAATCTAAAGGCTAACCAAAAGTCAAAAATCAATCCAGTTTATTTGTACAGCACATAAAATCATAAAATCATCATAAAAATTTGAGAAACTTTCAAATTTTTATGAAAGTTTCATCAAATCATCAATAAACATAAAATATATTGGTCCATGTTGCAGTGATTATGGTATGAAAGCAACTCTAAACAGGTGTATTTTCAACTTTTACTTCTATTATCTTGTTTTTTCACTATAAAAATAGCATTTTTGTAAAAAATAAAAATATCTGATCAAACTTTTTTCTTTAACTCGTGTCTGTGTGTCTTCTTCAGGCTGGTCATGAGGTTTGGAGATGTGGAGGATTTGAAAGGCTTATCAATCAGGTTAGTCTGTCTGATAATCACTAAATAATAACATATTATTAGTTTTAATCTGCTGTGGAAGTCTGATGTTAAAAACAACAAAATGACAAATCGTTTCAAAACTTTCTCCATCTGTAATGTGACATTTTTCCAGCTCAATAAGCTACAAATCAGTGACTATTTGCAAACTAAAAATTGCAAACTGAAAAACTCTAATGACCCTGTTGCATAAATGCACAGTTGGAGTGCTTTTTGTTTTACTTTCAGTTCAGTCTAATTAACTTGAAATAAAAAGTAACTGTTTTAGTCGGATTTTCATCACATTTGCAACATGCACTGTTTTTAGCTAACGTCACAGAAATGTTACGAAGGATCTTGTAAAAATCTGTCAGTCAGTAGAAGAATAATTCAATAGTATTGTACATAATGTGGTAAACACATACAATCATGTAGTGCCTTCTCAGAAACACAGGTTTCTATTATTTTGTTGTTTCAATAACACCTAATGAGTCCAGTTTGTATATCTGCATTAGCCTTTCATTTTTCTGTAGTTATGCCTTCATTTCACAGCGGAAGGAGAATAGAGAATCTTTCTGTCTATTCTTTTCTGAAACAGACATTTCTGTACAGAAAACTTAAAAAAGATACAATTGAATCCTGTAAGATTGTTAGACGCTCTGAGAAAGAGCTTCTCTTATTCTCAATATTTCATCAGAATACGCACACAAAAGAAATAATTCATTTTCTTTTCTCCTCTTTTTAATTTATAATTTAGTTATAAATCCACTGATTAAAAATTGAAGCACCAAGAAACGCTTCCAGTGAGAAAAGACAGATTTGGACATGCAGATCAGTGAAGATAATGTGATTTGATTGGCAAAGAGCTGTCATGTCCATACTCAGCCACCAGAGGGCGGGGTTTATGCAGTTATATTAGATTGCATTATTGACATTAAGACTGGATATATGCTAGTCAGCAGCCTCCTGGTTCCTGCTTTCTGTAACTCAGCAGCTTTCAATAAGGATATAATTTGTATTTGTACTTTTTATTTTTTATAAAACCCCTTCTTTTGCCTTCCATATAGGATATCTTGCTGCTCTCTGTGGTTCCAGTGAGTGTTGCAGTAAGATAACCCATGATGGGGTTTGGTTAGTCTAAATACCGTTTTCTTTCTCCAGATTTCAGCTCTCCAACACATTTTACGAGTCCTCGGGTCAGTGGTGGTTCTCCGTGGACCGGGTCTCTGTTTCATACAACACTTCTGAGGAGGTTGTCTTCAACGCTACAGATGTTTATGCTCCGGCCTCCTCCTCCTACCGCTGCCTCCATGTCAGCAGCCTGCAGAGATACAGTGGTCTGTTGCTGCCGAGCACTGAGCATGCACAGCGCTGGGCCATCACCTTCATCGACTTCCAGGTACCAAATAATGTTTCCAGTATCCCATCTATCTGCAGGAGGGCAAAAAGCTCCAGCGATGATTAGTTTGTGCTTTTATTGCTGCAGAACTTGTGTCTGTATTGCTTTCATTATCCTTGTTCTCCATGTCATCTGCTTTACCTGACTGCAGGCTCATGATTACTGTGCTGAATATCTCCTGGTGTTTGAGGCCCTGATGTTCTTTACTGTGCTGTCTTTTAATTTTTCACCACCTCGACAGCAAGATAACGAAGCTTTAATGACCAAACTTCTCTTTATTTTCACTTGTTTACTGAATTTTGGCCTCTGACTTCAAGGCCTTGAACTTTGGCCTTGAACTTTGGTCATGTCAAATGAAATATACATTCATATTATCAGCTAATGAACTTTGAAAATCAGCCATGTTTACTGCGAGCTAAAATAAAATATCCACCAGAGGGCGCTCCAGAGTGGGTTTCAAAAAGGTGTCCCATCGATCCGCGTTTTCCCACCCAGTTTAATTTACAAAGAGCAACAAAGTGTATGTTTAAAAATGCAAAGACCTAAAACCAACCCTGACAGATCGTCAGTAGAGCAGCTTTAGCTAATTAGCTTCCACTGCATACTGGCTATGTTAGCTTAAGCAGCCGTGGCTAATCTACCGCAGTGACTTACTAATAATCACACAAATAAACATCAAGCCTAAAGACTTAGTTCTGTTCTTTGAATGGGAAATGTTTCAGTGTGTTTTGCTGTTGAATTATCATCAGTTAAAGTTAAAGTCTGTGGCTGCATGTAGCCGTCAGTGAAGACGGCCTTCTTCAAATCAGACAAAACGCGACTGTTTGTGCTGGTTTGTGCAAACGTTTGATACCAATTGTCTGATTTGAAGAAGGTGGAGGGCCAACTTCACTCATGTGTTACTGGCTACGAACGGCCAGTAAAAGAATTGCCTTTTTTCCCTCCAGCAATCCATGGATGTGCAAAATTTCTGTCTCTAAACAATGATCTGCAATCGGTCCATTATTTGTCTCTTAAACTGAATTAAATCAAGTTTAATAAACGGGTATTGATGTGTTTAGATCCAAGCATTCAACATCAGTGCAGGGAGGTTTTCTCCTGCCAGCGACTGCACCACCGTCCTGACCCCGGCCATCCTGATGGGCCTCATCACCTCCCTGATCCTGCTGCTGGTTCTGGCCTACGCCCTGCACATGGTCGTCCACCTGAAACACATCGAGCACGACGACGACCAAAAGCCTGACATCTACTTCCCTCAGAGCCCAGAGCAGCTGGACCGCTGCTGCCAAGACGGCTCCACCGAGAAGAACGTGATATAGGACGATGAGAACGTTCCTAGGACAGAGACGGAGCTGTGATGACCCGGGCAGTGACGAGCTTTCTGCCCAGGACTTCATTTTTAAGGAAATTGTTTTATTAATTACCTTTGTAACACATTTAATAAAAATATTAATGAGAAAAGAAAAAAATCTTTCTCAAATTTGCTTTTCCAAATGTTAGTTGTAACAACTAATTGTTTAGGTTTCCCTTTAACAATAGCAGAAAACAGCATGTCGGGGGTTTCCTGTCTGCATTTTGTGGTGTTTCTGGATACTCCTGCTTCCCACATACAGCTCAAAAGCATCAATGTGAAACCAGATGGTTAGTATAAATTTGAGGGGCTTTATGATCTGAGCAGAGATGAATGTTTATGACAGTTTTACTTTGGAATGAAAACACATCAGTTACTGTATGTATGAGGCAGCAAGTTTGACAGGTTTAAGCTCTGCCCTAACCGGTTCTACCTGAAATCAAGCAGGAAACAGTTTGTGAACTTTGGATCCTGCAGAGAGACAATCAGATTCACCTTCAGACCAAACTAGCAGCTTCCTGTGAGTGAGTCCAGCTGCAGGAGAGAAAAGGAAACCTCCAACTCTGCTGCTTCCAGCTGCTCACACTGAAGGTGAGTTGGACCAAGAAGACTCAGAGTCACTTTGAGGGACGTTAGTAGAGGACGGAGGGAGCCGTGACTGACTGGACCTTCTGTGTTTTCAGTTTCACTCAGAGACAAAATGGCTTCCAGGTTAGAGGAGGATCTCTGCTGTCCCGTCTGTCAGGACGTCTTTAAGGATCCGCTTGTTCTGACATGCAGCCACAGCTTCTGTAAGGAATGTCTGGAGAACTGGTGGAGAGAGAAACCAGCAAGAGAGTGTCCAGTTTGTAAGAGGAGATCTTCAAGGTCTGATCCACCTTTAAATCTGGTTCTGAAGAACCTGTGTGAGACTTTCTTACAGCAGCGAGTTTTAGAGGATCTCTGCAGTCTGCATTCTGAGAAACTCAAACTCTTCTGTCTGAACCATCAGCAGCCAGTTTGTCTCGTCTGCAGAGATTCAAAGAAACACACCAACCACAGATTCAGGCCTATTGATGAAGCTGCTCAGGATCACAGAGAGAATCTGAAAACATCTCTGGAGCCTTTAAAGAAGAAGCTGGAGCTCAGGAAGAAAGTTCAGGAGGAGTTTGATCAGACAGCAGAACACCTGAAGGTCCAGGCCCGACACACAGAGAGGCAGATTGTTGAGCAGTTTAAGAAGCTTCATCAGTTTCTAGCAGAGGAAGAGGAGGCCAGGCTGGCTGCACTGAGGGAGGAAGAGGAGCAGAAGAGAGGGATGATGGAGGAGAAGATGGAGGCTCTGAGCAGAGAGATAGCAGCTCTTTCAGACACAGTCAGAGCCACAGAGGAGGAGCTGAGAGCTGAAGACGTCTCATTCCTGCACAACTACAAGGCTGCAGTGGAAAGAGTCCAGCGCTGCCCCCTGCTGGAGGATCCACAGCTGCCCTCAGGAGCTCTGATAGACCAGGCCAAACATCTGGGCAACCTGGCCTTCAACATCTGGAGCAACATGAAGGACATGGTGACCTACACTCCTCTGGTTCTGGACCCAAACACGGCTCATCCAATCCTCTTCCTGTCTGAAGATCTGACCAGTTTGACTCCAAGAGAGAGACAGCAGCTTCCTGGTAATCCAGAGAGGTTTGATCGTGATTGGTCGGTCCTGAGCTCTGAGGGTTTTAACTCAGGGAGCCACAGCTGGGATGTTGATGTTGGAGATGGTAAAGACTGGGAACTTGGTGTGATAGCAGAGTCTGTCCAGAGGAAGGGGAAGATAGCGTCTGGATTGTTGGTCATGTTGTTTATTAATGGTGAATACAAAACTTGGTCTCCTCCACGCCCTCCCATGTTTCTCTCAGTCCAGAAGAAACTCCAGAGGATCAGAGTGAATCTGGACTGGGACGAAGGAAAGCTGTCGTTCTCTGATCTGGATACTAACACACACATACACACCTTCACACACACCTTCACTGACAAGATGTTTCCATACATCAGCACTTTGTATAAAATAAAACTCTTACCAATGAAGATCTCAGTGATCAAACAGAAGCTTCAGCATGAAGAACAAAAAGTCAAAATGAAACCTTATTAATCAGACTGAAACTGAAGTTCTGGTTCTTGACTCTGTAACTGGATGTTGGACTTCTTGACCCACTGGACATCTTTATCCGTCATCCTGAACACTGAGAATCCACAGGGTTGTGTCCTCGGCCCACTGACACGGTAACCTCTCAGAGGAAGCAGCTGCAGTGATGGATTTCATCACCAAGTCGACTTTCTAGATTCATTCTCAACATCTGTAGCACAGCAGTGGAGATGGCCACCAGGCTCACATACCTTTGGATCTCCAACACCAGGTGGCAGAAAGGACGGGTCGGTCTCCAACATGAGGAAGTGCTTCTACAGCTGATTGGTGGAGAGCAGACTGACTTCCTGCCAGAGAAGCAGGAACATTTCTGGAATATGAACCAGTTAATGGAGGGACGGAGACCTGCATGTCCCCAACAACCCTGAACATGGACTGTCCCCCGGATGAGAAACATCTTCTCCCCAGATGCTGTGAAGCTGCTGAAATGTTTATGATAAATTGATCTCAGTTTCTGGGTGTAAAACCTTAGTTTGTTTGTTTTTTAACACGATAATTTTACTTATTTTGATTGTATACTTTAATTGAAACTCTGAGATTTGAGTTCAATTCTTCAGTCCTTTGTGTTTTTCATGACACAAAACCCATAAACTTTATTTCTGAGTTAATATTCACAGATAACATCTGGATCCATTGGGTTTAAGTTGTTGGAAATTACATTCATATGTAAGCCTCTGACATATTCGTATTAGCTGTATGAAAAATGTAGGTTGGTGAAGTTGTAGGATCCAAATGCAGAGAGACAGACAGAGAATTGGATTTAATGAAAATAATGATGAAATCCAAAACTTGAGTTTTGGGAGGTTGATTTCTGAACTGAACTGATCTCAGGTGTGAGGGGAGAAAGTCCAACTGAGTAGAGAGACGGGGTGAGGGAGCGTGCAGAGGACTGAAAAATAAATCTAGCACTAAAGAATAACCAGACTAAAGAAACAAAATTTAAAACTACAGAGGCAAAGACTAAGAACAGAATAACTAGGAACACTAATTACTTCTGAACTAAAGAGAAATGGAAACAAGACTGATATAAACATCTAATTCTCCAGTTTTTTCTTTAAGTAAAAGCAAAAGTCAGAATTGGTCCATCTGAAGCGTTTTCCATCATTTCCAAAGACGTTCGCTGAGAAAGTTCCTCCTTCCGTAATCCAGGCTTCTCACACCAGGATGGATTTTTCTGGAGAAGTTTGTTAATTTTTGTTCAAAAAAGGACCATCGGTCTCAGATTCACTTCACTGAGTTTTCTTCACTCGTCTTCATTCAGCCGAGCTAAAACTATAATTACTGCCAATATTATAAAACTGGGATCCTCAAATCCAGGCCTGGAAAGTAGAAAAATACCAAGAAAATATTAGAAACCAAGACATATTTAATTTCAGTTCCAGTTACTTCCCAAAACCTCAAATCAATTAAGTATTCATAACTACGATTTAAAAAAACTTATGTCTAAGTTTTTAATCTAATAAACAATTGCATTATTCTAATTTTTAATCACTTAATCTTATCACCATGAATGTCACGTTATAACATTAAATACTTGCATATCTGTTTCAGTCTAATTTAATGCGAGAATATGTCATAAAATCTATTATTGCCATGTGTTATTATACTTTTGGCCAGGGGAGGCGCTATTGGACGAATGGCGCTATCTGAAAACAACACTGACATACAGAAGAAGTAGCGCGTTAAGTTTTTAAATGCCGTCTTTTGCTAGTATTAAAGCTTGTCTCTATATGCGCATTTTTGCCTTAGGAACCTATTATGTGTTTGCGATTTAAACGCTGTAGTGGAGGTTAATTTAAATTGCTCATTTTATTGGGTGTTTAGCGTCGGGCTAACTTGCTAGCTTTCATTATTTTTGTCGGTTCATTCTTCTTCTGCTGCTGATATTTGGGGTTATTTCCTCCTCCATCCTCCGAGGGCTTCATGTTGAAGCACCTGTCCGCTGCCCGTGTTCTGCTCCCCCGCTGCCTCCTCGCTTCCTCTCCGCGTACCTTTAGCGGAACCAGCCGCCTTCTCGGTCGGATGGAGGCGGCCGTGGTGCGCTGCCTTCCCGGGGAGCCGAAGCTGACCATCTCCTTCTGCCTGGAGGACAGTCAAAAACACATGCTCCGGGACCAGGACGAGGCGCTGGGGAAGGTCCTGACTCGGATCTCAAACACCATCGCCAAGAACCAGGCAAAGGCGAAGAAGTCAAAGAAGAAGCGGGATCAGCAGCCGAGCGAGGCTGCGGACACCGCCGTGGTGAAACTGTTCTTCCAGGGAGACGAGGTTCCCGACACGCTGCCGAACCGCGAGGCCTGGCAGGACGGAGCTGTGCTGCAGGTGGGGGAAGTGAAATACAGTGTTCAGAGGAATGCTCCCACTGTCACCACAGCTGAGCTCCCAGTGTCCCTCATGGCAGGCTTTCCAGTCTGCCCCAAGCTGCAGGTGGAGTTTGGGGACCTGCAGGACTGCGAGTTTATGTGGTTCAAAGAAAACTCAACAAATACTAGGTAACTGTGGGTTATCGTTATTTATTTCACAACATCATGGTTCAAAAGATTGTGTCCATTCGCTTTCATTCATTCATTAAAGGGGTCAGAGGTCGTCCAAAGGGTCCACTTTTGGCCCTTGAAATGATTTTGTTTGGCTGCAGACCACAAGTCAAAATTGTAACTATTTGGCCAATGAATAGAATAAAGTTCTGATTTTATTTTCATAAGGAAACAGCCTGAAGCTCTTTTATGTTTCAGATGTTATACAATATGCAAGTTTCATAAAAATGTAGTTTATAGTTGAGCAGGTAGAAAAGTTTAAGCCTGTCACAATAACAAATTTTGTTGGACGATAAATTGCCCCAGAAGTTATTGCAGTAAACATTAATGTTGATTTGAAATCATTTTCAAGCAATATTGAAAACTTTTCTTTCAAAAATCAATAATGAATGTTTAACAGGGCATGATACCTCAACACCAGCATCTTATCGACCATCATTAGTCGTTTTTTTACTTATCTGTATCAGTCCAATAAATAAAACTGAGTTGATATGAGCAATTTACTTTTATAATTATTTTTTAAATAATTTTCTGGTGTTTTCTTTCCCCCATACGCTGTCAAAACAGTAGTGAAATATAGATAACATGAGTAAATATTTGTTTTTGACAGTATTAATATTGGATTTCAATATCTGCACACATTTTTTTTATCTACATTCCTAAAAGATACATAAACTTTTAAGTATTTCTATTAGCATTTTTTACAGATATCTTCATCCCTTAGAAGAAAAAGTAAGTCCACACATTTTATTGCTGAAAATTTGCATCTTTATTAGATTTAAAACCTAAAACGAGAAAAGGTTGTTCCTCAAATTGCAAGAACACATTTTCTATATTAGATATTTATCAAAAATTAAAAGAAGTCTTTTGTTCCAAATGATCATGTAACATTTGTGACTCTAAGCTAGTTTTACTTAGCTGGCTCTTTAGTTTGTAAAGGTTGCAGATGCTTTGACTAGACCGTCTGTGTTGTTGTTGTTGAATCTTCTTCAGTCCCTCATGGTTGTTTCTAACTTCAGTCCTAAAGATTCTCCGGCTCCGGAAGGCGGATGGACGCAGGTCGGATGCGAGCGAGTCCTCGTCCCGTCCAATCAGGACATCGGCTGCAGGCTCAAGCTGCGCTGCACTCCCAAAGACGGCAGCCGCACCGGCCAGGCCAAAGAACTGGTCTCTGTAGCAACTGTGGAGGCGGGGCCGGGCGTGTGCACGTTCGACAACCGCCACGCGTACACGCTGAGGCCCGCGGCGTGGCCGGCGCTCAGGGTGGTGTCCTACAACATCCTGGCCGACGTCTACGCCCAGACGGATCTGTCCAAGACGGTGCTGTACCCGTACTGCGCCCCCTACGCCCTGCAGCTGGACTACCGGCAGAACCTGGTCAAGAAGGAGCTGGCGGGCTACAACGCTGACATCATCTGCCTGCAGGAAGTGGATAAAGGTGACTGCAGCTCAGAAACTGAAGATTCACCAGTTCATTAAACATTAAAATCCCCAAGTATTTAGTCCACTTTTAATTCAATACTAGAAGAGGAGAATTTACTAAACACAAAAATGTTGCTTATTTATCCAGATTGAAGCTTTTGATATGAAAATATCACAATTTAGATATTTTTGCATTGACTTTAGTGAGTGTAAAAAATAATCTTTGCAGTTACAAACAGTTGACCAAAACCTTGATATTAACAGCTTCAATATAAAGTTTTAATAGATGTTAAGTCTTGATGTTCTGGCCTCTTCAGGCGTGTTTGTGGACAGTCTGACTCCGGCGCTGGATGCTTTCGGGCTGGACGGCGTTTTCAGGCTCAAAGAGAAGCAGCACGAAGGTCTGGCTACGTTCTACCGCAGGTTAGTCCAGAAGAAACTGTAATTTTTTATGCATTTGGTTAGTTTCAGTATTTCTTCTCTGGATCCATGTGGAAAAATTCTCAGACCAGTTTATCTTTTGATTTTTATTAAACATCCAACTGGGCCAGAAGTAGGACTGGTTGATATTTTATAAGAATAACATAACATCAGAGATTTTCAGACCAGATTTGATTTTAATAATAATAACAAAATTGTTTCAAAGTCCTGCTACTGATAATAATTTGATGTTTAAAGATTAAATATTTCTATTAAGTACTATCTGTAAGATGTAAAGTGTAACTTCAAAAGACACTCAATAATCCTCATTTAAATTGAATAAAATCTTATAAATTAACTACTTTACTCATAATATTACACCTTATTCTCGCATTATTTCAACATTATTGTCGTACAATTGCATTCTTGCCATACTGTAACTTTATTCTTGTAAATAAAACTAAAATAAATCGTAGCCTGGTTGTTACATTTAGTTGTACAGCTGACTTGTTTAAATAAATAGAGGCTGTGAACGACAGCTGTTGAACAAGATGGCCGCCCAAAGCGTGATGACATCACTCTGAACTATGGAAGCACAAGGAGCAGATTGGAGGAAAAAATGCAAATCTTGCAAAATTTAAATCTTCAAAAACTCCATTTTATAGATTTGATCAATCTATAAAATGGATTTCTAACACTGAGTTATTGATAATGGAGGCATTAGAAGCTGTTTGTGTTCAGTCTGGTTGTTCTCACTGCTGCCCCCTGCTGAGCTGCATGCTAATAACATCCTGCTGTGTTTCAGGTCAAAGTTTCGCCTGCTCAGCCATCATGACATTATGCTGAGCGAGGCCCTGACCTCTGACCCCTTACACTCTGAGCTGCTGGAGAAGCTCTCTGCCAGCAGCGACCTGAAGGACAGGATCCTGCAGAGGTCCACATCACTGCAGGTACAGCTAGAAACTGGCTGTAATAAACAATAATATTGTTGTTTGAGACCATTTTCAAGAAATATAATGGTAATGATATAATAATAAAAGAACACTGTCAATTCTGATGAACATTTAATATTGGACGACATTTTAAATATCCACAATAAATTAATAAAACAAATAAAATGAAATATGACATCTCTGTAAACAAAATTGTTTTTCATAAGAAGGATTAATTCACCTCAAAGCATCAAACAAAAGACTGAAGAGAAAAACAATAAATTACAAAATGGAGATTATTGATTTATTGCGCCAGGCCTCAGCAGTACTTTAATGTTGTGTGGTAGTGAGTTTCAGTCATGCATTACTCTAAACATCGCTCTACGCTGCCTAATGACTGCTGAAAATGTCAGTTCAATCTAAATTTGTGAATGATGAGTGAAAATTCGTCAGTAGCTGTGATTGCAGTTTCCTGGAGGGACTGGATGTGAGGTCATGGCTGTGGCTGCTGGCCGGTTTCAGTCAGCGTTGATTTCCTCTGCAGGTCTCCGTGCTCGAAGACCTCGCCAACCCAGAGAGGAAGGTGTGTGTGGCCAACACTCACCTGTACTGGCACCCAAAAGGTAACCTTTATTTGAGTTGATTATTGATTATTTTGATGATTAATTGGATTTTATGTAGCAGTGACGCAGTGACAGGTCTTTAAACTGAACCTCATGTCATGCTGAAGGTGGGAATGTTCGCCTGGTCCAGATGGGCGTGGCTCTGCAGCACCTGAGCCAGGTGATCGCTGACGTTGCACCTGGAGCTCCTCTGATCTTCTGTGGTGACCTCAACTCCACTCCAGACTCAGGTAACAGTTCAGAGGCCAGATCGCTCCATGTCTGGTCACCAGAAGCAGAACTGATCTGCTGGTTTGTTGTTGATATCGCGTCTCCAGGTGTGATCCAGCTGCTCAGCGAGGCGGCGGTTCCTCCGCAGCACGCCGACTGGAGCAGCTCGGGTCCAGAGGAGTCCTGCTGCATGGCGCTGAGCTCCACCTTCCCGCCGCTGCAGAGCGCCTGCGGGCAGCCGGCCTACACCAACTACGTGGGAGGATTTCATGGCTGCCTGGACTACATCTTCATCCAGCCACAGAGCATGCAGGTAGCTTCATGATTTTCCTTGTTTCATGATAATTATTTTTGCCATCACCTGAATCTGACCTGATGATTTTTCCCCTGCAGGTGGAGCAGGTGATTCCTCTGCCCAGCCACCAGGAGGTCACCACCCACAAGGCTCTGCCCAGCGTGGCTCACCCCTCCGACCACATCGCGCTGGTTTGCGACCTCCTATGGAACTCGTGACCTCTGACCTTTTCATTAAGATGCTTTAACTTCCTCCTGCAGTTGAACACGAAGTTGCCTTTGTGAGCCGCTGCTACCCCAGAGATCTGTTGGACGTTATAGACTCCTGAAGTTGTTGTGGTTCAGTTCATTCTGCATTTATTTCATTGTCAGCGCTGATATTCAGCGCTCATTTTTAATTAAAAGCACTATGAAGATCATTTTACTTCTCAAGCATCCAGCAGACTGAGTTACTGTCTTCACTTCTGGACAGAATTAAAAGGAAAGATTTAAGATGTTAATAGTTTACAATTAGATCATTATTATTATTATTATTGCCAGTGAGGCCTACTGTTGTTGCTCTGTGAAGTCCAGATTAGTGCTGGGCAATAAATTGTCGTTATCAGTTAATTGGATTTTGAAGTTAAAATTTTTGGAAAGTCTAGATTTTTTTCTTACCAATGTGATCTTTGGGTTTCCATAGTTCAGAGTGATGTCAGGGCGGCCATATTGCATGTTTTACAGCTCTATTACAAAATTTTAGGGTCAGGCTATGATATTTTTTTTAAATTATTATCATTACGATACTTGACAGTTTTCTAAACATGCAGTCAAAATAAGGCAAAATAAGGTAGTAATTAATTGTGTTAAATAATATTTTAACACATTAACATGAAATTATTTTCACAATCTGAGCAGCTCATGTCCGAGTCTGAAAACTGTCCGAGTTTTTTTCTCATTAAAACAAGTTTTTTTCCTCTTCATTATAAGATGTTTTCTGATAAAATTGCATTTTTATTTTGCTATTGTTGTGCTAACTTGGCCCTAACACTTCATCATTCAACTCACAGAAGGGATGATTGAAACAAAATAGAAATACTTTCTTTCCTGTGTAATTAATTAAGAAAAAATAGATTAAAATCAGATCTGGTATAAAACAAACTGAATTTATTTTTAAGCCATAATGCCCAGCCCTGGTTCAGATTGACACATTCAGCTCAAACCTGTTAATCTTCATTTTGATGTTTCCTAAACTCCTTTTGAAAAAGCAGCTACACTTTGTCACAAAAACACAATGTTAAATTGGGAATTTATGCCATAAACCAGCACAAAGTGGCACGACTGCGCTGTGGAAGGGAAACTATACTTGTTTTTCTTCAAATACTTCTACCATGAATTGTAAATGGGAAATAATGTCCTTATATTATAACTCAGAATAAACTGCTGAAGTCTCTGGTTGCTGTGCGAGTTGATTGGGATGAAATGAAAGACGAAATGAAAGTCCCTATCTTTGTGTTTCCCTGCAGAGAAACACAAAGACGCCATGATGGATTCATGCTAACATTTTTTTCATTTGGGTAGTTCGGTTAAATCTTTTTTTCATTCTTAATTTGAATGTTTATTTCTTTATTGACACGTTGGATACATATTATTAACACAACTTTTTAAATAAATATAGGACTATAATGCAGATAAATAATGAAAATAATAATTACAAAGCGTAAATGTGGCTACAATGTATTTTGCAATTGGGAGTAAAAGAACATTTAGCTGTTTAAAATCTCAAAAGTTCAAATTATACCTGAACTAAGACCCTAAATCACAGTCTAGTAGAAAATAACAAAAGTTGAAAACATCATCTTATCCCCTACTCCAACATCTCTCTCCCGGGCATTCTAATCATCCAACCATGCAAAGACTAAAGAAGAGCAGCAAAAGCAAATGTAGTGGATTAGCAGTGTTTACCAACAACTGATGTCATCATCCAGGACATATTTCTCTGTTGTATCAAATCTGCTGCCCAGAAACTGAACTGTTTGAATGAAGCTGTCGAGCAGCAATGATCTTTAGTCAGAGGCCTACTCAGATTCATTGCAAGATTGACTGTTACTGGAGATCTTTCCTGCCCTTAACAACACCACTCACAACAACTTTTGAAGATACTTGTACTGGTATTTTGGTGTAGAAGTACCAATACCTTTAACATCCTTTTGGGATAGATCAGGTTTTATATTGTGTTTTATAAAGTTTGAATTCAATTCTGTCTTTTAGTTTCGCAGCCTGAACGCAGTCCGTTCTGGGACACATTAAACGACAAACTACTAACTGATTTAATGCAGCAGTCATCTGATCTAAATTGATTTTTAACCAAAGTACAACAAAGTCAGGTCAATCAGGATTATTGTGACGTATCGCGTAGTAAAGTTACACTGTGCCTTTAATTTTCCCTTCTCGCCACGCTGTTTTTCTCTGATTGGTCAGAAGAGCGAAAGAGGCGGGTTTGGGTTGTTTGGGACATACCATGATTTGCCATTAAAGGGGGAATTTAAAAAAAAGTATAAATAAAAATGATCGAATAGTTGCGACACGCGGAAAATACATTCCTTTTTATTTGGCTGGAAACAATAATGTACTTATTTCTAGAGTTAAATAATGTTTTAATTTTGGACAAATGGTCAAGTTTAACACCCCTGACTCGGCAACAAAAGTAAAGGATGACCACCAAGTTAGTCAGAATGACCCAAAAGAACCGGAAATTATTCGATCTGACTTGTACATTTTTTTTCTAATAAATTTTAGATTAATGTAAGACTAAGCAGGGGTGGGTATTATTCGTTATAAATTGTATATGCTGACAACAAATCGCGAATTTGCATATTTGATAAAAATATTAAGCGGACTTCAACAGATATGTTTCCGGAACTTACCTTATTTTTAAAGTTCTCACCGGATGCTGAATGTGTAACACCCGACCGAGTGAACACGACGCTGCCGAACCGGAAGCCAAACAAGGAATTCGGGTCTGAGGAATGTTACGTGTCATTTTCAGAGTTTCAGTCATTCAGAAATATCCTGAAGCGCTTCAGTGGTTAAACACCTGTAAGTTTTTATCCTTTTAACTTATTCACACAGTTAGATGCTAGGAGACCGTATTAACCGGCGGCTAGGCCTCGGTTTGTGGTGTTTTCATGAAGATAAATTGAGCTAAACTAGCCAACCTGAGTTCAAACACCATAAAACGTGAGTTCATGTCAGTCTCAACACTTTTAATTTAACTTACCCTCGAATAAAACATAAACATAAAATTTTAATAGTTTAATCTCCGCTGTTTATGATTAATTATCAGTTTGCTAAAACTGTTAAATTAGTTTCTGGTGTTGTACAGAAATTAGTGTCCAGTTTGTTTCGGTTCGTTGTTAGACTTTAAATATTGTTCATCTACAATTTGAAAGATGTTGCACATCCATTAGCTTTGTTTTGTAAAACAAAAACGATCATTGAAGCCAAATATCGTCTTAAAATATATCAGTTTTAAACAATAAGATAACTTTATGAGGTAAAACAATCCATGAACACCATTAAAGTTCTGCCTGTTTTTATTCAAGTGTAAATTAAGGATTCATCAAGAACAAATGCAGAAAAGAATGAAGATGCTATCAATAATTATAAATTGTGTTTTTCCATTATTAATTTGAGCCTTTTTCTTTAGTTAGAAGGAATTTTGCATCACTTATTTAGATTTCTTTTTTCAGGAGATTGTATCAATCCTCCTTTCTTTGTATGAAATGTTTGAAAGTCAATAATATAAGAAACTGTTGCTTTCCCAAACCCTTTTTCAAACATTTCTGGTTTGTTATGTTGAACTGTATTTCCAGGAGTTTCACTTTTGTATGTCACAAGTTTATTTTAAGTGGAATTTCACTGTGGATCTCATCAAGTGATATGATTAAAATACTATAATTTTAGTTGTTATGAATCTGTGTTTCACCAAAGTTCAGTCCAGTTTATGCATCACACCTGCAGCAGTTATTCTGCAAATGTTACTCACTTTTTCTGTATTATGTTTGCACTTCTTTATTTATTAATTAGTTGGAGAAACGCATCATAATTATAAGAAGCAATTTGAAAATAATCAGTCCTATCCAGAGATGTAGAGATTAGCCAAAACTGCTTCAACTTATCTTTACTCAAGTAACAGTAAAAAGTATTTGGTAAAAAGTACAAAGTACCTGATCAAAACAATCATTTAATATTTACAAATTACATATTTAGATATACCAAAGTGTAAAATACCAACATTTAGAGATGTTGGTATTTTAAGGACCAATATGACAATAATCCATGTAAATAAAAAAGTTTTTCCAAATCAGTTTATTTCAATGTGACAAAATCTGCAGCTGTGTGTCTGTCTGGTGGATTTCTGTTTGTTTTTCATTCATTGGGTTAAAAATCCAGAAAATTCACTCAAGAGTAGAAATACTTCATAATGAAATTATGCAAATAAAAATCAAAAGTTCTGTGTAGTAAAAATACACATAAAAGTACATTTTGTTTTTCCAAACAATTTATGTATTTGAATGAATGTAACTAGTTAGTACCCAGTTCTGATCCTCTCAGATGAGCTTGTGAAGGTTTTAAAATCATATTTTTTATGCTCCTCTCCTCCTCAGGCTGCGCCACGCTGTTGATGAACTCTTTCCTCCTCCACTTCCTGCTGCTGACGGCTGAAGGATGAAGGCTTTGATTCTGGTTGGGGGTTATGGGACCCGGCTGCGGCCGCTCACCCTGAGCGTCCCCAAACCGTTGGTGGAGTTCTGCAACAAGCCCATCCTGCTGCACCAGGTGGAGGCACTGGTCAAGGTGAGGAGGAGCTGCGCTGAATCTGCTGGCGGGTTTGTGATGACCTTTATTGATCGGTCGCTGTGTTCCTGGGTCACTGTGCGTGTTTGCAGGCCGGGGTGAACCACGTCGTTTTGGCTGTCAGCTACATGTCGGAGCTGCTGGAGAGGGAGATGAGAGTCCAGGAGCAGAGAGTGAGAACATTAACCAACATTCAGAGACTGCAGCCAAAACAGGGCTGGAGCGATTAGTCATGTTTGATTCATTATTAAAATAATAATTTAGCAATAAATGAGTCAGTAACTTATCACAATAAACGATAATATTGTTGTTTTGAGATTAGCTATTAATATAAAAGTAATTACATAATAACACAACCATTCATTCTCAAAGATTAATAAACTTTAAATCCTAATTTAACACTGGAAAAAATCTCCTGTTAAAGTAACCAGTTGATTGGCTCTGACTTGTTGACGTGTGAAACAGTTTTGTTTTATGTGAAGGATAAAAATAAACATTAGATTTTTTGTTGTTCTGTCTGCTGCGTCCTGATTATTATTTTTTTCTGTTTCTCTCCTCAGCTCGGGATCCAGATCTCTCTGTCTCATGAGACGGAGCCTCTCGGAACCGGTCAGTGCTAATAACATGTCTAAACATTTCAAATCGACTGCAGTTGAATAAAACATACTTTACTGAAGGGGAAAATACTCCATTCAAAGTGTTAAATATCAGCAGCTATGAATATTTTAATGAGGAAAACCTTCAGTAGAATTAATTGTCCTCGTCTCAGTCTCTAATTTTATTGTTTCTGCTGGTTCGCAGCCGGGCCGCTGGCGCTGGCCCGAGAGCTGCTGAACGTCGACAACGAGCCGTTCTTTGTCCTCAACTCGGACGTCATCTGTGACTTCCCATTCAAAGATCTGCTGCGGTTCCACCGCAGCCACGGCCAGGAGGGAACCATCGTGGTGAGAAATCGTCAGAAATGGGTCCAATGACCCGAAACCAGGCTGGGAAACATTCACAAAAACATGCAGAAGATAAATTAGTCCAGAATATTTCAGGTTCTAACAACTTGTTGGATTTAAATTTAAGCTTTAAAAGTGATAATAGTTTAAGACTTTTTGTAAAATTTAATGTAATTTATTCCTTTTGTTTATGCTGCAGATTATAAAACCAGGTTTGTTTGCATTAACTTAAATGTTGTCAGTTTCTGTTAATAATCAAAAATATAAACACATTTAGAATATTTTTACATTTTATTTATATTAGTATTTTAAACTCATTTAAATTAAAAGCAGATTTTAGAGAAAAAATACTGAAGCATTTATTTATAATTAGTTTAGTATTTATAAATAAACACATTTTACTTATAAAATAAATCTGTTTATTATTGCACAATAAGTGCAAAGTTTAGCAGTTTCGCATTTATTTCTTAAGGAAGTAGATTTGCACACAAGCTAAAAGCAAAGAAGGAAATTGAGCAGAAATCTGCAAGAACTAAATTAAAAACAGATTTTAGAGAAACAATTTAAATTAAAATATTTTTTCTTTACTCTTCTGACTAGATTAGCACCTGAGTGTCCATTTTTACCCCCAAAAAAGAAAAAATAACATTTAGGTTCGGTTTAGTTAAATAAAAACAAATGAAGATAGAAGAGCGAAGCTTCTGTCTTTATCTTGAGCTCTAATCTGAAATCGTTGAATCCAGACGAATGAAAATGTGAAACGTTTGTGTGAAGGTGACGCGGGTCGAGGAGCCGTCGAAGTACGGCGTCGTCGTTTACGAGTCGGAGAGCGGTAGAATCCAGCGCTTCGTCGAGAAGCCGCAGGTCTTCGTCTCCAACAAGATCAACGCCGGCATCTACATCTTCAATCCCAGCATGCTCAGCAGGATACAGGCGAGTATTTACACCACAAAACGAAACAAGATTCACAGAGAGACTTTGAAACCCCAAGAAGCCGCTTCCTGTTGAGCTTAGAGATTTATTAACTTTTCTATCAGGAAGATGAATTTTGTTTCAGTGATTTTCTAACCTGAACTTTAAATGTTTTCCTGCTTTAAATGAGCAAAAGTTTATTAATCATCCATCATGTTTCGTTTAGGATCAGAGGAAAAGCTGCTTCATATTTCTAGTTGCACTTTAATTAATGCTGTCTGCAGATTACAGTAGTTTTAGCACCATACAGGTATCATTATACAGCTTTAATTTTGTTTTTTTTCTGTCTCTGGAATATTAGTAATAATTTTAAATCTACTCCTTTCAATGTTATTTAGACGCTGGTTGTTGTGTAGGAATCTGGAAGCGCCAGATTAATTTTTGTAAAATTCAGCTTGTATGTTTTCTGGTTTAACTGCTGTGATGCGTTTGTGTGCAGCTCAGACCAACTTCTATCGAGAAGGAAATATTTCCTGTCATGGCGAGAGAGGGGCATCTGTACGCCATGGAGCTGCAGGGTAAATATTTATTACACTTCAGATTTACTGCCATTTGTTTCTGTTTTTTTTTTTTATGTTGTCATTTTTATCTTTCCTCTTTTGTCTTTATTTTCCTGTCTTTTGTTTAAAAAAATCTGTTTTCTTTTCCTTTTTTCCTTTTACTTTAAACAAAATAACTTAACTGCCTTTGAAAAACATAGAATAAATTTCTGTTTCTGTTCTGAAACCAAACATCTAAATATAGAGAAAATGTGGAAAAATTTTCTAAATATTAAATACTTTAAATTGTTTCTGTCAATATTAGTGTATATAGATTTATTTAAAGTTTTTTTCACAGCAGCAAACAAATGAACATTGCAAAAGTGGAAAACAAAATTTACAAAAAAAAAATAATAGCTTAAAAATAATTAAAGGCAATAAAAATGATTCAGGCTGATTATTAGACTCATTAAAGGGAGGTGGATAAAACATGTTACTGTCATGAACATGAAGGAGTTTCATAAATGTTTCTGAATATTATGAAGTAAAATAATCACATTTTTAATGCAAAATCACATTAAAAGTCAATTGAAACTCATTTTTTGCAGAATAATGGAAAGTTGAAACTTTTAATGCAAAGTTGCCTGAAAATATTTCCTTCTTTTTCAAGAAGGAACTGAACTGAATGTGAAAGCCGTGGTTTAGTTTGTTGCTCATTAACGAGGAAAATTGAAACTATTTAGTCAGTGAACCTCCTTTCATGCTGCTGTAGCATCACAATAAGAGGGAATATTTCTGGAAAAATGACTCGCTCTGATTTTTGCAGCTCACAGCTCCACCAGACGTAAGTGTTTGGATCTTTTCTCTCATCCAAACTTGTGTAGATCTGGAGAGGAAATGACTGCAGACGACCGACAGATTGGAATATTTGAGTTAGAAAAATCAAAAATGTGCTCGAAAAAAATCCAAAAATTTCTTGAATTTCTGAATTTGAAAATGTGCTTGAAAAAAAAAATCAAATTTGCTTAATCTCAGAATTGTTTTTGAAAAAAGTTTGAAATTTTGAAGTTCGAAAAGTCCAACATTTGCTTTTAGACTTTACAAACTTCCAAGTTGTTGTTTTTTGTTTTTTTTTTCTTGACAAATTCTGAAATTTTTAAGCAAATTTTTGACTTGCAACTCAGAAAGCAGATCAGTTGCTCTGATGCTGGAGCTTTTCTGCATCCTCATCCCCCTCTCTGTAACTAGAAGGACAGACACATTTCCCTCCCAGTAGACGGACCAGTGCTTCCAGTTTCATCACAGTTTTCACCCTGAAGTTACCAATCTGTAGTGATGTTGCCTCGTTTGCTTCTTTCATTATTTGGGATAAATTCCATATTTTTCCAAGCATTTTGGTCTAATTTCTCATACAGAAACACTTGAAATAAGACAAAAGTAGCTTATAAGAAAGTCTTTAGTAAGATATGAAAGTTTGCTTTAAGTAAATAATTGCTTAATATTGATGAAAATTACTGGCAGATTATTTAATGTATAAAAATATATTGTTTTTCATAAAATAATGTGCCACTGGAAGTAGCACTTTTTGATTAATATTGGGGAAATATTGTCATAAAACAAGCCTTTATATCTTCCTGAAAAGTTACTTGCAAGCTACTTTTGTCTTATTTCAAGTGTACTAAGATATTTGCACAACAATCCTTGGTAAGATTTTGTTTTTGCCGTGTTGATGAGTTCCTCTAACGCTGGGCTTTAAATATATATCAGATTTTTTTCATATCAGATTTGAATTATGATTTTAGTTGAGTTTTTTTTTCTTCACTTTTTTGGCTAAAAAAATTTACAAATGGGAGAAAATATTTTTAAAAATTGGCTCTTATTTCAGTCCTGCCTGTTAGGGAACTTTAGAGCCAGGTTATGGTCATTTTTGTTTAATTACAGGGATAAAGTCATAACTTTAGCAGAGTAAAATGCAATTTCACCACAAAAAGTACAATTTTCTTGTGGGGGTAAAAAAAAGCTTGAATGCAGTTGATTAAGTATTTATATGAATTATTATCTGCAAAACTTGTACCGAAGTATATCTTCACGAGATGCTCAACATTTCTCTCTTTTTCTTTTTCTGTTGCAGTTTTCATTAAATTTCTTCCTTATTTTCCTAATGTTACAACTTTATTTCAACTCTATAGTTGTACGGCTGTTTTCTTGTAATATTATGACTTTATTCTCATAGCTTAAAGTGTCGGCCTGGCCCTAATGCTGTCGTAGGGTTGACCTGAATTCAAAGCGTAAATAAACAAGATGGCCGCCCTCTTGCCCAGCCCTCAGAGCCTCCATGCAGAGCAGATCGTTTCTCTCATTTCTGACCCGTTGGGTTTGGTGCTTGCAGGGTTCTGGATGGACATCGGTCAGCCGAAGGACTTCCTCACAGGAATGTGCATGTACCTTCATTCTCTGCGACAACACGCTCCAGAGAGGCTGCGCACAGGACCCGGTTTCCTTGGCAATGTCCTGGTGGTGAGTGCGGCTCGTCCACGGTGTGAACAATAAAACAACCACAGACGTGACGTCTAAGAGCATCACGTTTATCTGCAGGACCCGACGGCGCAGATAGGGGAGAACTGCACCATCGGGCCGAACGTCACCATCGGCGCCGGCGTTGTGGTCGAGGACGGCGTCAGGATAAAGCGATGCACGGTCCTGAAAGGGTCCAGAGTCCGATCGCACTCCTGGCTGGAGAGCTGCATCGTCGGGTGGAGCTCCTCCGTCGGCCAGTGGGTGAGTCCCGACCAGCGGCAGAAACAGGACAAATATTATCCTGATTAACGGTGAAATCCAAGACATCAAATCAAAAAATGAAGTGAAAATTTGCTTGAAAAAGCTCAGAAATAAAATAAAATAAAAAAGGCAATTTCTGCCTTTGAAAAGTCAAAATTTGCATGAGAAAATTCAGAAATTTTGAGAATAATCACAAAAAAATTGAGAAACAAACATTGACATTCCTAAGTTTGCAAGGTCAAAGATTTACTAATAAAACTTTGGAAATTTCCCAAAATTGTAAATTTTTGTCTTCTGAAGCTCAGAAATGTTCTTAATTTTTCTTCTTTTTTTATAGAAAATTGTTTAAAATAATCTCAAAATTTTGATTTTTCAAATTCAGAAATTTCAATGTAAAAAAAATTTTTTTTTATTTTTTTAGCATATATTTGACTTTTGAAACTGAAATATTGAAGTTGTTTTTTGTCTGCCATTTCTGAGGTTAATCTCAAACTTTCTGAGTTTTTTGGTGGAAGTGTTTTAGTTTTTCTGTTTTTTTGGTTCGATCTAAACGTCCCTGGCGCCGTCGTCGTAACTCGAGGTCAGGCGCTGATCTTTTCTGTTTCTGGGTTTTCCCTCGTCGTCAGGTCCGTATGGAGAACGTGACGGTGCTGGGGGAGGACGTGATCGTAAACGACGAGCTCTACCTGAACGGCGCCAACGTCCTGCCTCATAAATCCATCAACGAGTCGGTCCCAGAGCCGCGGATCATCATGTAGCGCCACCCGCAGGCAGCGGGAGGATAACACCTCGGCTAACTCTCCACTAACTGAATCCCCATGTTGCTTCGGACAAACCGACAAGTGGAAGATGAACAACCAAGTTTATTTTTTTGTTTTATTTACATTTAATTTGGACTCGTTTTAGCCCTGCATGGCTGCAGTTTCCTCCAGGAAGTTCGACTTTAGCGGGACGGACGTCGGGTTGGAGGGAAACCGGTTTGGGGTTGGTGCACTTGGTAGGAGGGTAAGGAGCTGATGATGGGATTATGGGTGAGCATTGCTTCTTAGACTTTATAAGTTCAACACTCTGAAGGATCAAACAGCAGCTTTGTGCTCAAATCATGACTATTAACGGTGGGGAAGTTTAAAAACTCGTCGAAATGTGAATGTTTGTTAGAAAATCTGACCTCAGAAATCTGGAATCAACATCATGATCCTTCATTTAGATTAAAACTAATTGTTACGCAACAGATTTTCTCTCTTTTGCGTCAGAAACGAAGCGGTTACTAACAGGATGACTTTCATTCCTTAATTAGGTCAAATCACTGCTTTTCAGCAGCGCCTGCTAAATGCAGCTAGTTTGTGTCCATTTAAAAGAAAACAGTCAACATCTGATATTCATCTGGTTTTCTCAAAAATAAAATTCAAAATGTGATATTTTGTAAATTATAGCTCCAAAACATGACATATTAATGTGGATTTACCCGGACTGCTGATGTTTTCATCCACAAGATTCAGCAACAACAAACGAGTCCTATCACACTTTGAAAAAAGTATTTATTTTTAAAACTTTTTTTTATTTTGAGAAATATATTTTTTAAAATGAATTTATTTACAAATATTCCAACAGATTAAATTTGATTTAATTTAAAGCGTAGAAAAAACACTGAAAGTTTGATATTTGAGCCGTCATTCATTTTAAAAAAGAAATTAATTTACTCTATCACTTCCAATATCTTGATTTTCTTCTTATTTTTGCGTCTCTTTTTATTATTCTGTTAATACATCATTTTTTAAATTAAAATTTAAATCATTATCCTCTCCAACAGAACGAGTTTCAATAGGAAAGAAAATCCGTTTTGGAATCTATATCTGATTTTAAACAATTATATACATGAAATACGCCAAGCTTTGGCCGGAGGCACTGTGGCTAAACGCATCTCAGAAAACATTTCTAAGTTGTTGAGTTTTAAGAAAATCTCTCGGCTTGATGTGAAAAATGCCTTTTTGGCAGCAATGTTGAAAAATTTCCTCTCAGTTGGATTTTTTTATTTGTAAGCGAGAAAATAAAAACGAACAAAAAGGTGAAATATTCGACGCTCTGTTTGACGTAGGACGAACTTTTGGACTCGTCACCGTGACATTGTGCTTTATTGGTGATTTTACCTCCAGTTTTTTTTTCTTTATTTTTCATTTGGCTGAAAACTCAACAGAAATGTGGAAGCGGTACTTCGTTCACTCCTCTGAATTCTGTCGCTCAACGTTCCTGTAGAAACTGCTAATTATGGGTACCAGAGCTGTTTGCAGTCATTGTGAGAAATCCTGAAACGGATTCAGGTTTAAGCTCTAAAATATTAAGAAAACTTCAACTTCTGATCAAGTTGAATCATTTTCTGATGTTCTGGCTGCAGATATTTAATCACTAAGTTGATCTTTATTAATTGTTTATCTCTGTTTATGTGCCGCCTGTCAGACAGCTACGGTAAGCAGTTACTGATTTAAAGTCGGGCAGTATTCTGGAGCCGAAATGTGTAAAAAGTGTTGGTGAAGGAAAGGTTTTTCTTGTCATTAAGGTGTTTTTCTAAAGAAACAAAATAAATCCACTAAAGGTATTTTGATTAAGTTTCTTCTGTTATTTTCAGAGCTGGTTTTGTTTGAAGATGAAGCAAAATGAGTTTCACATTCATTTTATTTATTTATTTTTGGCCCACGTGTCAGTCTGGACCTCATCCCCCCCGTCCCAGTCCAGATGAACTCTGACCCGCTGCAGCTTCTTCACCGGGAGACATTTGCTCGGTACCGGATGGGAAACGGGTCGGTTCGGACCTCCACATCCCAGCTGTGCGTCCCAGAGCTGAAGTCCTGGTGGCTGATGACGCAGTGCCGCTGCTCAAACCTCTCTGGGTTGCCAGGAAGCTCCTGTCTCGGCCCAAATGGCACCGCCATCAGATCCACAGACACGCTCAGGTGCGGGTCAGCCGTGTTTGGGTCCAGAACCACCGGAGAGAAGGAGACCATGCGCTTCATGTTGGTCCAGATGTTGTAGCTCAGGTTGCCCAGATGTTTGGCCTCATCCTGGGAGAAGCTGCAGCTCATCCAGTGGGGGGCGCTGTTGGACTCTTGAGCCCTGAAGTTCTGCAGCAGCAGCACATCCTCAGAACATCTGAACTCTTCTTCTGCTGCTGTGACGGTTTGTGAAAGAGCCTCCATGTTCTCCTTCATCGCCTGCCTCTCCTCCTCTTCCTCCCTCGCATCTCTGACCCTCTTCTCCTCTTCCTCCTCTTCTCTCCTCACATCTCTGACCCTCTCCTCCTCTTCCTCCCTCGCAGCTCTGACCCTCTCCTCCTCTTCCTCCTCTTCCTCCCTCACATCTCTGACCCTCTCCTCCTCTTCCTCCCTCGCATCTCTGACCCTCTTCTCCTCTTCCTCCTCTTCCTCCCTCACATCTCTGACCCTCTCCTCCTCTTCCTCCCTCGCAGCTCTGACCCTCTCCTCCTCTTCCTCCTCTTCCTCCCTCACATCTCTGACCCTCTCCTCCTCTTCCTCCTCTTCCCCCTCACATCTCTGACCCTCTCCTCCTCTTCCTCCCTCACATCTCTGACCCTCTCCTCCTCTTCCTCCTCTTCCTCCCTCGCATCTCTGACCCTCTTCTCCTCTTCCTCCTCTTCCTCCCTCGCAGCTCTGACCCTCTCCTCCTCTTCCTCCCTCACATCTCTGACCCTCTCCTCCTCTTCCTCTCTTCCTCCCTTGCAGCTCTGACCCTCTCCTCCTCTTCCTCCCTCACATCTCTGACCCTCTCCTCCTCTTCCTCCCTCACATCTCTGACCCTCTCCTCCTCTTCCTCCCTTGCGGCTCTTAATCTGCTCTCTAATCTGCCTCTCTCTCGATTCTGTCAGCCTGGATCTTTATGTGTTCTGCAGTTTCACCACATTTTCCCTGAACCTGTCTGAACCGGGTCAGTTGTTTCCTTCAGGGGCTGCTTCTGGTTCTGGAGCTAGTAAGAGCAATTTAAGATTTCCTATGTCTTCTCTAAACATCTTGGACATAAACATGGCTTTGAAAAGGTAAAATTGCAGTTTTAACTTGCCGCTATTCAAAAAACATTTAAAATATCAAGAATTATAATTAGCGTAATGATTAGTCTGGATAAAAATTTAAATATTTGAAATTTATTTTTGACAAATTGTAATGAATGTTTCACAGCCAGTAATTTACTGTAGATATTCTGAATTAAAACTTCAAAAAATCAAGAAACTATGATTATTATTATATATGCTTTTATGCATTTTGCACAGCTTTGCGTTTTTCTCCCGCTTTGCTGAAATGGATTTTGTTTTCCATGAAGGTGACAGAAGAGGCAGAAAATCAGGTCAAACTGTGGCAGATTGGGACACAACATGGGAAAAAGGTTTACCAGCTGCTCCCCCTGCTGGCTGCTGCTGGAACTGATCATCCTACCGTAAAACCCATAATATATCAAACTGGAAACTTATTTTATTTCCATATGAAGCTGAAAGGAATAAAGAGCATTCATTTTCCAACTGTGTATTAATTTAAGTGATAGAAAGCAAATTGTTTTAACATCATCAGAAGTTTTTTTCTGAATTTTCTTTACAGAAATAGGCTAAATGTTTTTTAATAACAATAAGTCCAGAAGAGCAGCAGAGACCCACAGCTCAGGAGAGACATGTATCCTTTATGGAAAGTGTCTAAAAGTAAGCAAAGAGTAGTCCCATGTAAAGTTTCCCTCAAGCTAAACGCCACAGCAACTACAGAAAGGCTTAGATTGAAGCACAGCCATGTGTTAGAATGGCCTAGTCAAAGTCAGGATCTAAAACTGAGAATCTGTGGCAAGATAGTATCTATCCAGTTGTTTTTTCATAGAAAAATAAGCCAAACTTTCTAGATGTGCAAAACTAGTAGAGAAATTCCTAAAAACGCCTGCAGTCATAAAAAAAAGCATGCCACACTTTTCAGATTCTTTAATGCATTCTATAAATAACTAAAACTTTTTACTTTACAATTTTGAACAACTTTGTGTATATCATGTAAAATCACATGTACTATTTCTATAAGTAGATTTTGTTTGTTTTGAAGATTTGTGATTTATGACAATAAAATCAAATTTACTCACAAAATTACATTTTAAAACAAATAATTAATCAAAAGAGGTCTTGCTCTCATAAGTAAAGGTTCTGTTGGTTGAAATACATACAGGAAGTTTGGATGTGTTGCTATGAACTTTCTTTCCTCCACTGCACAGATGCTGAAACTCGGAGATTATTAATAAAGTTAATCTTTTATCACATAATATTACACAATAAGAAGATAATTTAGATAATATGATGCCGACCACAATATCAAGGGAAGGTTGTACAGCAGACAAAGAAACCTTGACCCTAACTGCTGTGGGATCATAAATCAGAGATAAAACTGTGGAAAAGTTTTGCTATAAACAAAAATAAAAAGGGAAAAGGAAAGCAATATTCTTTATTGCCCCACAGTGGAAAAATTCAGGTCCAAGTTAAAGGAAAACAGACGCAAATTTAAACCAACGGAAAAACAAATACATATTTAAACTATAAGAAGAGTCACATTTGAACCTTAAAGAAAACAAGAAAGGGAGAATAACTATTTTTCTCGAGCCGCTGCAGCCTGGATGTTTGCACTTTAACATCGTTGCATAAGTTATAAACCCTGTGATTTTATGACAGGATGCAACTTCTGTTTGGTCGGATAAGAACGAGAGCCGAATTATCTTGACTCATGTCGACTGTGTGTATAAACAGACATCTAATCTATGCAGGTCAAATGTTTTACCAGCCAATAAAACGGATCTGCTGCTTCTTTAGGTCGATGTTTTCTTCAAGTCGAGAAGCTTCTCCAAAGGTTGAGAAGTTAAATTATCATCATCTGGTAAAATTTTACATTCTTTTGAGGGTGGTGGATTTGTTCCCAGTCCGAGACCGTGGTTCTGTTTTGAAATATAAATAGTCAAGAGTTTCCTTACGACACGTTAAAAGCTTTTATTCAACCGATTGGAGGAGCAGCATCAACGTCTCTTTAAAAATGACAGATTTGCTGTAAACGTGAGGATTTGCTGACAGATAAGCAGAAAAGATGTCAGAAAAATTGTGATTTTGATTGCTGTTGAGTTTGTGGAGCGAAGTTTACCATTCCTTCAAGACCAACTTGCAATTTATACGAGCTTGTTTTGAGTCAATAATGCTTTTATTTTGAGGAAAAAGTTCTGGTTTTATTGGCAGATTATGTACATTATTGTTTTAATTGAAATAAGTGGAACTAGAACTTTTTCACTAATATTGTTATTTACTTAAAATAAACTCCTATATCTTGCTGAAAAGTTCATTGTAAGTTACTTTTGTCTTATTTCAAGTTAACTAGAAACTGGACCAAAAATAGTCGGATTTTGTATTTTTCCAGTTTTCAAATATTTGTTTGTATTGCTCTGTAAGATGTCAAATTTATACTGACTGTACCCAGAGGTGAGTGCAATACCAAGACATTATACAGCACCACTTCAACATATTTTTATTCAAGTAAAAGCAAAAAGCAGCCGTTCAAGAAATTGGTAAAGTAAACAAAGAGCAAAACAGTATCTGGTAAAAAGGCTCACAAAGAACTGAGTAACTGATCAAAACATCCATCACTTAGCATTAGCATCCACTAAGTACCATGTTGGTATAGCATTTAGCATTAGCATCCAGTAAGTACCATGTTGATGTAGCTTTTAGCATTAGCATCCACTAAGTACCATGTTGATGTAGCATTTAGCATTAGCGTCTGCTAAGTACCATGTTGGTATAGCATTTAGCATTAGCATCCACTAAGTACCATGTTGATGTAGAATTTAGCATTAGCGTCTGCTAAGTACCATGTTGGTATAACATTTAGCATTAGTGTCCACTAAGTACCATGTTGATGTAGCATTTAGTATTAGCATCCACTATGTACCAAGTTGGTGTATCATTTAGCATTAGCGTCCACTAAGTACCAAGTTGGTGTAGCATTTAACATTAGCGTCCACTAAGTACCAAGTTGGTGTAGCATTTAGCATTAGTGTCCATTGAATTCCATGTTATTTTAGCATTATCATATGCTAAATTCTACATGAATTTAGCGCATTAGCTTTTGTTAAATTCCATGCTGGTATTGCACTTTAGAGCTAGCAAAGCTAATGTTTACGATTAGCTTAAGGGTTATTGCAGCTAACATTTTAGCTACAACAGAAATAAAAACAATGTCTAAAAGCTTTTTTATATAGATTTCAATAAATAAAATAAAAAAATGTTTCACAAGAACCAAAAATCCACTGGAAAACAGTAGAAATATTTAGATGATGAAAATGATTCAGATGAAGATGATTTTGTTGTATAACGTCAATAAACCATGCAGTTAAAGTGAATGAGTGTCTCTCCCACTGCAGGTTACCTAAATAAACATTACGCACAGCAGAAGCATATGCTCTGTCCGAGCTGGACGTTCATCAGCGGCGCTGCCAGGGAGGCTTTGCTGAAAGAAACCGAACCCTCAGCAACGTGCATGTTTAGAAACACGTCTCTCAGCAACCGAGTCAAACAGCAGCTTAAAT